ACTAACCTTCCCCTCCCCCCAGCAACGAGTCTGCTTCCTGTTACTACAGGTTAGTTTGCATTTTCTAGAGTTTCTAGCGTATTATATAAGTGAATCATACAAGTTAGACCCCTTTGTTGCTTTCCTTCTTTTCTTCCTTATTCCCTCTCATGTGGTAGCATGAGTTAACAGTTTGTTCCATTTCATTACTGAGTAGCATTCCATCGTAGGATATAGGGTGGTGTGTTCCTCCACTCCCTTGCTGATAACCACTGTGGTTGTTTTCAGTTTGGGGCCATTACAAAGGGAGCTGCTAGGAACATCCAGGTCCAAATCTTGGTGTGGAATAGGCTTGCTTTTCTCTTGACTTCACTAACTCTTCCCTAAGTTTGGACACCCTCTGCAGGAGGAGATTTCCCAGCTCACCCACCCCTCGAATGAGGAGAGGAGAGAAGGAACAAAGTGACTGCTCCGGTGGCCCGGGGACCCTGGAGACATTGGGCGGCCTTGGGGATGACCTCTGGGCTGGGCTTTGGTCCTGGGAGGCAATGGGAGAGGCGGCTGAGGGAGAGTAAATCCAGCCAGCGCTGACTTGTAAGTGTGAGGGGACATTGGTTCTTGTGCCTCCTCCCTGCCACCCTGACACTTTCTGGCCCCTGATCCCTCTCCTGCTCTCACACTGTCAGCTCCCTCAGTTTGCCCGGATCATGAATAATCATGAGGTCACCAGGGTGGGCACAGCCCCACCACACCCTCAACTTCCTCTTCCTGGGGCCCTCCGGTGTCTCAGCCCCTGGCCCAGAACAATGCAGTCACAGGCTATCCCACTCCAGCTTTGGGCTGACGGGGACCCTGTGGAACTGGGAGGGTTGATGTCACTGCAAATCCAGTCTCCAAGCTTGGCTGGCCCTAGAATCTTCTTCAGGGGCTCTAGTCAGTTGCCATTTGCAGATTGTTCTAAGGCTTTCCCACCAACCTCAAGGCTCACGCCTGCCTCTTCCCCACCCCCACCCACACCCACCCCTTCTCAATGGATGTCTTATCTCTTATTTCACACAAAATAGAAAGCATGGGCAGAACCTTTCCTAGTGGACCTAACCACTCATCTCCCAAACGTAGCCATGTTCCCGCCCATCCTTTCATATGTTGGAGAAGAGGCTGCCCTGCTCCATTAAGGTGAATCCCTCTGCCAAGGGGGTAGTCGCCACCCTCCCCTATCTTTTATAGAATCAAATTCTATTGGGCATCTATAGTCTAGTGAAGATTGGTGTCTACAGCTTCCTTCTCCCTGTCAGGTCTATCCCTTTAGTCCTCACTCCTGTTCAGACTTCCACAGTCTGACCCTTGGCCTCCCTCTCAATGCTGCCTCCTCTTCCGGCTTCTGTCTCATGCTCCTCTTCTTAGTGACCAAACATTCCTCTTGGAAACCAGTCCCTCTAGTTGTCCCCACTTCCTGGTCTCCCACTCAGCAATCCCTGCAGGCTGGTTCTGTGTCAAGCCTGCCCCTAAAACCACTTTCCTGGTGGTCATTAAAGGCTCCCGCAGCTCCTAAACCCAGTGGACACTTTTGACTTCTCTATTGACTCTTCCTTTCTCCCTGACGTCCTTCTTCCTCACCTTCTGAGGCAGCACCCGCCCCTGGCCCTGGTGCTGTCCCCCTCTGTGACCCCTGGTCCTCTGCTCCATCCTCTCTTCCCTCCGTCCTTTCCTTAAACATGGGTGCTGCCTGGGTGCCCTCCCGTCTTCTCTCTCACCTACTCCTGGGTGGTTCCACTCCCACATGATGACTCTCAGGACTCTCCAGCCAGGCCTTTCCCTTAAGCTCTGTCCTATTTGTCACCTTGTGAATATCCCACAGGGACTTCAAGTTTGGAATTTCCCCACTGAACTTATCTCTCCTAAAATCTGCTCCTCTCCCCATACTCCTAATCTCTGTCAACCTGAAGTAAACAATTCTGAGATTTATCTTCAAATCTTCCTTTTTCCTCCCTTCCGCAACATTCAGGCAGTACATGAATGCTCTCAGTTCCACTCCTCTTTCTCCCCCTCTCCCTCTCCTTCCCTTCTGTTCTCACCATCCCAATCCAGTTCCCCATCAGCTGGCCTTCTGCCATTGCTTCCTAACTGCTCTCCACCCTCAAGTCATCTTCCGTCCATGCAGCTGCCAGAGGGAGCCTTCTAAAATGCAGCTCTAACTATGCCAATCCTCTGTTTAAAATCTTTCGTTTCCCTTCACCTACAGAAGCAGGTTCAGACCCCTTGTCCTACCACATCTTCTGCAACCTCTACTCCATCTCTAGGCGCCCCCTCATGTCCTAGATAACCTGTGCCCTGGCACCCAGCATGCCCTCCTTCCCATAGGCCTCTGCTTCGAGGCCCCTCTCATTCTAGTCTCTCTCCTCTCGAAGCAGCTCAAATGTTTCCTCCTTGGAGAACATTCGTTTTTTCTTCCTTGTATTCCTGGAGCACCAAGAAAACACCTCTAGAATGGATCCTATTATTTCCTAAGTATTTATTTTCATTTTCTTCCTACCCCCTTCAAGAAAAAAAACCTGTTTTTTTCCTTTTTTTTTTTTCTCTTCCTTATCTCCAATGCCTAGCCCTACGGCAGAAAAGCAGCGGATACTCAATAAAAGTTTGTGGAATGAAAGAAGAAGAGAAGCCCAGCCGGCGTGGCTCAGTGGTTGAGTGTCGACCTATGAACCAGGGGGTCATGTTTTGATTCCCGGTCAGGGCACATGCCCAGGTTGTGGGCTCGATCCCCAGCATGGGGCGTGCAGGAGGCAGCTGATCAAAGATTCTCTCTCATCATTGATGTTTCTATCTCTCCCTCCCTCTCCCTTCCTCTCTGAAATCAATAAAAATACATTTTTTTAAAAAAGAAAGAAGAGCCCTAACCAGTTTGGCTCAGTGGATAGAGCGTCGGCCTGTGGACTGAAGGGTCCCAGGTTCATTTCCAGTCAAGGGCATGTACCTTGGTTGCGGACACATCCCCAGTAGGAGGTGTGCAGGAGGCAGCTGATCGATGTTTCTAACTCTCTATCCCTCTTCCCTTCCTCTCTGTAAAAAGTCAAAAAAATATATCTTTAAAAAAAAAGAAAGAAAGAAAGAAAGAAGAGAAGCTAGAAGGCAAATGAGATTGGGAAGAAAGATGAGAGTCACATAAATCCTCATCAGAATAACTGAGGAACTTGTGGAAATTCAGATCCCCAGGCTCCACCCCAGGCCTTCTGAATGCCTGCAGGTAGCATCAGGGTCGGCCTTTTTCATAAATTCCTTGGGTGATTCTTATGGGCAATAAAGTCTCAAACCAGGGACAGCAGAAACTCCAGTTTTAATACTGGGGGATTTCTGTTATTTAAGAATCTAACCCAGGATCAAGAACTTCAATGGCGGTCATTTCTAAGATAATCTAATTGCAACCTCAATTAGGATCATAGGGGTGATAATTACGGAAGAAAGGCCAACAGCAAATGAGGGAACTGAGAAACACTAGAGGGAAATCGCTGGCCACCTGCACAGGCGGGGAAGGGGAATGGCTACCGTCAGCAGCTACCGGCCCGAGCTCTGATAACAAGTGGCTGTATCTCAGACGAGTACCTTCTGCCCGAGGACCTTGCTTCCCCATCTGAAGACGGACGGATGCATCTGAGATGCCCTCCGCTCTCCTGTTCTGAGGGGCTCTCCTGAGGAAGGGACAACTCCTCCTGGGTGGGGAACAGCTCAGGATGCTTCGCCTGTAGACTTGCTGTATCCTCGGGAGATTTCTCTCCTGGCAAAGCATGACTACGGTACGAGCGGCCAAAATAGCGCCAGCGGGGCCACTCTGTTATAATGAGATTATGCCAGAGCCATTTCGGTTTATGGAATTAATATAACAGTGCTAATATATTACTGCGAGCAGCAGAGGCTCGCTCTCTGAAGAATGCTGATGTGCTGAGGGCGTCCCCTCCCTCCTCTGGACCACAGCCCTAGAAAGAAGCAGGAAGGAGAGGCGGCCGGCCTGGGGACACTGGGTCCTGGGGTGAGGATATGCCAGGACCTGGATGGTAGGGGCAGGGCCCCCTGATGTTTTGTCACTTAGCCCAAGTCTTCCCTTAAGGAGGGGGGTGGGGGACAACAAAGAAAAAGAAAGAACGCAGCCCTGGCCGGTTCAGCGGACTGCACTGAGAAGAAAAAGCTGCAGGCTGGGCCCCGGGTCCGGTCGTCCTCCCCTTGGGAGGAGGGGGAAGGCCGACACCTGCCCTGCCTGGCCCTGCCCTTCCAGCCCTCAGAATGCTGAGTCTGTGCTGGACTTTGAACGCCCAGGAAAAGGCGGGAGACCCATTCAAACCGGCATGTGATAAACTTGTTAGTCATGCCCCTTGTTCCAGCCCCTGCTCCCCCCCTGCCCTCGCCAGCCGCCCCCAGCCCCGCCGCCTTTCAAGTTCGACAACTTTAAAGAAATCAGAAATCAACGAGACGGACGACATACTTGATGAAGAAGACTCTCCCACCGGGGTCCACTCCGTAGGTCCACCGGCCCAGCAGGTCCAGCCAGTCGGGCTCATCGGCCATCTCCGCGTCTCGCTGCCCCCCTGGCTCTCCAGCCACCCGGGGGGTTGAGCTGGCAGGGGCTCCCCCACCCGCAGCCCCCACTTTCTGCTCCTCCTGGAGGCAGGGATGGGGGCGGGGAGGGGGTCTGAGGTAGGTGCACCCCCGGCTCAGG